AATTTTGTTCACTCGTTTAATATGGCTTTTGGTGGAGGTGGATATGTTTTTAGTTATGCTCTTGTGGAGGCAATGGTAGATAATTTGGATATTTGTATTAAAAGGTATCCAACTTATTATGGGGGTGACCGTATTTTGCAGTCATGTGTAGCTGACTTAGGTGTCTCTCTCACTCGACAAAAGGGCTTCCATCAGGTATTTTTTCAGGAATTTTTACACAAATAGTTGGTTGTATTCACTATTTACTTTTTTTTTTTAGTGATTTATATAAATTATAGAGTGATTATATATAATTATACACATAGTATTCATGAATATATATATTATAATATGCTGACTATTTTTAGTTTAACGGTTGTGCGGACGTTTTTTTAGGTTTATTCTTCTTTTTTGTAAAATCTTTGGGCATGTTTTTAAAGATAACTATTAGTGAATTTTAATTGGTGAGAGTGGGTTAGTTAATATTTTACGAAGTTATTAATTAATGCTTAATTATTATAAAAATTTACTTATAATTATTTTATAAGTGATTTGATTATATAAATATTTTTTACATTATTAAGAGGTAGAACATAAACTCAACATAGATACTTGTTAGCTTGACATAAAAGAATTAGTTGGTCTTACATGGATATGTTACGGCCAACGAAATGAAGGATCTCGTCAACTTTGACATGCATCTACATGTTTTAACCTTATTTACTTGAAAGAACCTGCTGATTTAAATTAGTGGGCTAAGCTCTTCTTTTCATTTTATGTGATAGTGTTTGATAGAATATATAGTTCAAATTATTAATTTAACTTGTATTCTAATAATATTTTTTTGACGAGGAAGGAAAATAAAAAAAAAGTTGTGGTTGAAAAGCGATCAAACATCATGTCAAAGTAAAAGTATGAATATAACTTAATAAATTTAATAAACTCTTGAAAATTGTGAAACTTGTGTAGAAATAAGACACCGCCAAATATTTTGTAACATCTCAAAAAGAATATCATAGTAATTGAAACAGAAAATATTAGTAATTAAAAGCAAATATGTCAATAATTTAACGGTCAAATTTGCCGCCTACCTTCTAATCGAGGGAAGCTAATTTCCATAAAAAGTGAGTAAAGCAAGTTTTATATATATATATATATATATATA